TATTAAAAAAAAATCAAAAATTATATAATTAATTAGTTTTTTTTGCATTATTTAGTATAAATTTATTATTTTTATATAAATAATAATTCATATTTGCTTTAATAAAATTATTTTTGTGTAAAAAAATTAGATTCCAAGAATTGGCTCATATGAAGAAAATTAAATAATATAATGATATAAATAATAGCTTTATTAAATAATTAAAATATTGTAATAAAGATATTGTACAAATAATGTTATTAATAGTTTAATTTGGTCTGACTTAAAACTAAAGTCAAACCAAATCAATTGATTTAGATCTCTAAATCAAACTAATGGGATTATTAATATTTGTCCTATTAACTTTCCATTAGTTCTATTAACTTATCTATCAACCCCATCAGTCCAGTTAGACTTGGTTCAGTTTAATTTATACTTAACAACATTATATGTGAAATACAATAAAAAAAATATAAATATATATATTTGTAATTTTTTTCATATAAAGATGATAACATTAAGATTATTAAAATAAATATAAAAGTTATATCATGATTTATATATAGGCAATTTTGATAAATCAGATCAGTTAGTTTTAGTAAAAATATCTGATATATTAAGATATCTGATGTATCAAAAAAATCTCACCAAAATGGATTTATATGAAAAATTCAAAATATCAAAAAATCATGTGATTTTTCAGGACCCCGGATATCTTCAAAACAGGTCATAAGTCACACTTTCGGCAGATTGGCCCATTTTTCAGGGGCTCAAAAAATCGTTTTTTGTAAATATCTCGGCATCCAGTAGTCCAATTTTGATGAACATTTTTTTAAATTGTAGAGCTAAATGAGGGCTACAAAATAAAAAAAAGTTCATTAAAATTGAATTACTGGATGCTGAGATATTTACAAAAAACGATTTTTTGAGTTTAAGCAAAAAGGGGTATTTTTGGCCAAAAGTCCATTATGACCTTTATATTAGATATCCGGGGTCCTGATTTTTCGTTCAAAATTTTCAAAATTTTAAAGTTTAAAAATGAAATATACAGTTAACTCTTGATATAACGAACTTGTGATATAACAAAGAACATGACATTTAACCAATCAAATATGATGTTATAATAAAGAAACTAATCAAATTCTTTAAAATTCTTTGTTATAACCTTATAACGAACTAAGATGAAAACCAAAGGATTCATTATATTGAGAGTTGACTGTAATTTTGTTATTATAAAAGAACTATCTGTTATATATTAAAATCAAAATATTCATTTAGTTTACTTTATCTTTTTTCATTTATATTATTAAAAAAAATCTTTTTTTCAATTTAATTAAATTTTTCATTTCTAAATTACCAATTTCTAAATCTTTTTGTTGAATATATTTAATTACATTTTCAATACTATTTAACATAACTATTGTAAAGATTTCATCTTACTCCTCTTTCTCTTCAATTTCTTCAATTTCCTTTTCATTTATTTCCTTTACAATATCAACAATTTCTTGTAATGATAATTCCTCTTCAGCAAATACTTTATTATCAATATTAATATAGTTATTTACAGCTAAAGGATTTACAAATACTAACTTATCAATTAATGATTGTAATTCATATTTAATATTATCTTCTTTATAATTAGAATTGTTTGAACATTCAGAATCTTCCATATTATTATTGAAAAAAATTCCAGTTTTAACCTAACTATTAAAAATTGTTTTTTTAAATACTTTTTTTTAGGTATTAGCAATTAAATTGGTTGAATTAAAAATATCAATTGGAAGTAAAATGGAATCTCCTTCTTTATAAAAATCATAAGCTTGAATATAATTTTATTAATATAGCAATTTGCAATATTGTGCTTTTAAACTATATATAATATCTTGAACTAATGGTTGAAAAAATGATGTTGTATTTAATGATAAAAAATGAATCTTAATATTTGAAAGACTATTGATATTCATAACATCTAGCATTATCTATTAGTAAAATAATATGCTGATTTTCTCTAAGCATTTTGGAATTTAATCTTTCAAGATAATGTTTAAAAATATTTGCATCCAAGTTTTAATACTATAATACCAAATAAGAAGAAATTTTCTTTTAATGCACGTGGTGTTTCATATTTATGGATAAAAACTAAAGGCAATCTTTCATCACCAGAAGTATTACAAGTTGCCAAAATACTAACATGTTTTTTAGGACATTTTTTACCAAGTACAGGATCATGTGCTATTGTTTTGGATAGTTCTAAATGCCAAAAAAGAGCAGTTTCATCACAGTTCTAGATATCTTTTGGTTCATATGCTAAAAGAATTTTGTAATTCAACTCTCATTTATGGAAGTTCATCAATAGGAGCACTGCCAGCTTCTCCTTTTTTTTATATGTATGCAAATTATTTCTCTGTTTAAAGTTGTTTAACCATCCTGCAAATGCTGAAAAGTTGGTAATATCAAGTAAGTTAACACATTCCACTGCTTTTTGTTGAATAATAGATCCATTAATAGTTAAATTTCTTGAATTTGTTGATTAACCCAAATGCTCATTACTTCTAGTTGTAGATAAACACTAGATTTTTCATAAAAATTATTTGCATTTGGTACAGTGGTATCAATGGAAACCCAATGTTCTAATCTTTTTAAAATATCAGAAACTGCGCTAGTGGAAATTCCATATCATGCTGCTAATTAAGTTTTTGATCTCTTCATTTTTTGCAAATTTCTTTCTTTTAAGCTAATGTTAAAGATTTCTTCTTTTTATTATTTGGGGACGCCCGTAGCAAAAGGGGGGAATGGGATAATTCCGTAATTTTAAAAAAATCGCAATTTAAATCACGTAATAAATTTGGCAGATCATCACTTAATTGTGAAATAAATTGACTTTCAGACCTTTTTTTTTATTTAAAACTAAATTTTACAGGCAATTTACTAAGAGTATTGATTTTCTTTTAATAAGTTTATGTTGCTTGTTAATTTTATAAAAGTAAAATGCAAATAATAAGAAAATTTCAAAATTAAACTTTTTTACTAATATATTATTAATAAAAACCCATATTTTCTTAATAATTAGACTAATAGACATATAATTATAATAAAATCTCAAATTTGAATTTTTTGGCCTATCCCCCCTTTTTGCTACGGGCATCCTCATTTGTATCTTTGTTTTCTCTCATGCTAAAGTATAGTTTGAAAAAAAACACAGTGAGAAAAATTGTTTGCCTAATTAATAAATGATTAACATAATTATTTTGGACTCCAAAAAAACTAATACATCATATTAAGATTTTTTTAAGTTTTAACTATAGTTGATCTAGGATAAAATCCGATTTACAAAATATCGAGATTTTACTAATGAAGTCCGATATATCAAGACTGTTTTAATATAAATCCAAAATAGTGCCAAATCTGGTTTATCGAGGATCGAGATTGCCTGTGTATATATAAAGTACGGAACGTAAGGTAAATATAAATTCTTTATATATTACTTGTATACTATATATAAGGGGTGGTGGATAAAGTTCATCTTACATTCTGTGCTTTATATATGGAAGTACAGATTGAGTAATATATGTGATTTTACGTTACTCACTTTATGCCAATAGCATAAAATTTTAATGTTCCGCTGGATAATCTTAGGAGATCATTTATAATTAACCACTAAACTCGTAACCAAATTGAGTCAACACTTAAAATATATATATATATATACACAATCTTTTTGTAAGGCTTACAGAAATATTACAAATATATATCAAAAAAAGTGTCATTTTTAGTAAAGTTTCCCCAATAAAAATAAATACACTTAAAGAACTTGCAAAATGCAAAGCTCTTGTCCAATAAAAAAAAAATTAAGTCAATTGCGCAATAAAAAAAAAAATATTTTATAATTTACAAATCAATTGCATATTAGTAAATATTGCAATTAATTAATTCTAGCCTATTCTACATCAGGAAATTTGTTTAGGCGTAATTTAGTGTAATATTTCGAAGGTGGTGTAAAATTTCGAAATATTACACTAAAAACGTAATATTACAAAAGTTTACGCTCTTAAATTTGAATAATTATAGTAATTTAAGAATATCTCGCTATCTACTGATCCAATCAAGATGATCTATAGCTCATTGGAATCAGCTCATCAAGACGGATCGAATGGTAGTAAATTCGCATTTCTACAGTTGATAGAACGCTTTATAGTATGCAGTAAAGTTTTAAATTAATAGAAAGTCATCTATCAAACGTAAAGATACGATTTTACTACCATTCGATTCGTCTTGATGAGCTGATTCCAATGAGCTATAGATCGTCTTAATTGGATCAGTAGATAGCGAGATATTCTTAAATTACTATAATTATTCAAATTTAAGAGCGTAAACTTTTGTAATATTACGTTTTTAGTGTAATATTTCGAAATTTTACACCACCTTCGAAATATTACACTAAATTACGCCTAAACAAATTTCCTGATGTAGTTATTCAAATTAACTAAATCTGTAAGAAGGATAACACAGTCTGAAGATAAAAGCGGATTTGAACTTATAGAGCGTCCAAGTTCTTATCCAAGTTCTTCAGAGTCTGTAATAACGATGTGGGTTCTATTTGAGAGAAACAAAGAGCCCGACTTGTATAACATCAAAGATAAATTTTTTAATGATGAAAACTACGTATATGACCTTAAGATTCGTCTTCAAAAGAAATTTACAGTTTTCAAGAATGTTCAAGAGGTAGGAAAAATTGAGATTTATGTATTTTCTGATTCTGGCCAACACTAATTTCTTCTGGCAAAAACTATCCTCAAAAACCTGAAAGTTATGAATAAAACAAAACTTCTTGTGCGGTACCCGCTCTCAAATGCAAATAGTAAGTTTTCTTTTCTTGGCTTCATTTTCCTACTTCTAAATAAGTGCTTATTTGTTTCTGTCAAATTGCAGTTCAAGTGACTTGCAAGTATGGGCATCATAAACCTGTTAAATTTGATATCCCGCATAGCAGTGGTTCTCTTGATTTGATAAAAGAAGTAGTTATGGAATACTACAAAGATTTGAAGATAAGAAACTTCGATTTTGTATATGAGGAAGGAAATGTAGAACGTCAGATCCAGAACGAATATGATTTTAACACCTTTATATCTGAACGTGAACTTGATGGTAATAACTATATACTTGATTCATTAAAAGTTGTAGAAAATGATAAAAAGTCTTTTAGTGCTTGGGATATCAAGGAAGTGTTTAGTGAGATTTTACAAAAGAATTATATTTCTCTTGAGAAAATGCTAAGTTTAGACATGAAGACCCTACCTCCATTAGAACACGAATTTTCTAAAAATGAATTAGAAATTTTTGTGTGGGAACTTCAAAAAAACCTTGAAGCATTCAATAAAGCAGCCTTTACTAATGAGATGACAAGTCGTATATACATTAATCCCTTCATGACAACTGCAGTTCGACATGTGAAAATATCTATGAATAAGCCATTACAGTTGAGTGTGAAAGTAGCGCTAGACGGAACTCGTGATTATGGACCCCTAGACTACTTAGTGAAACTCACTCAAATTTTGATTTTATTAGTTGTAGCAAAATCAGATGATCTAAAACAAGGAGCGGTACAGGCTTTTGTACAAGCGTACATTGCAATAGAAAAACTATTTCGTGAATTCAGTAAACCAATAGTGTACGGAATAGTTTCAACTGGAAAATTATGGAGATTTTTCCGTTGGACGGGATCATTAAATGAACCAGTAGTCCATATTATACTTTTCGTCAAAATGACAAAATACTAATTAAATTTATTTTGACAGACGTAATGTATTTTGACAGACGTAATTAATTCATAGTAATTTTATAATAAATAGTGAATTGGTCCGTTCGCCGAAATACGACGTAATTAATTAGCGGAGAAGTATAGTCCATATTACTGAAGAATTTACTTGCAAACTTAGTGATTATAGTGATGATATGAAAGACGAAAAACAAATATTAGAATACATTGCTCAGATTCTACAAGTCCAAGCTAAAACATATGATGATGATGATAGTGAATATCTTTCAAAGCATCACTGTTCTTCTCAAGGGAGATTTAATGATAAATGAAAGAATTTTCTATTCTTCATATATTTTTTGTATTAAGGTAGTCTTAATCATAAAAAACAAGAAACTGTACTTATTCTAGTGATTCGTGAATATAATAAAGTTTCTTCACATAAGGCTTAAAATTTTTAAGAGTAATGTGATTGCAGGATTGTGTTTATATACTAATATTCCCTGATTCAGATTTTTTTTTTCAGTTTGATCTGGACTTAAATGTATAGTATAATACTAACAATTTTTTTTTCATGTAAATGCGATAATATGTGATTTTTATATTATAAAATAATGATTGAGAATCCACTGTGATTGATGCCTGTATAATTATATCAAAGATTAGCCATTATGTAGCTGCAGACCGAAGGAGTAATGATGTAAAAATATAGCTGCTCTTGATCTGTACATGACGCAAATGATCATAAATCACCTAAAATTTATTCACCATAACACAACAATCACCTCATATGACACATTTTTCTAAAATGAATAAAATGAATCTGATATTCAACTTGATAAAATTGATAAAATTGCTATAAATCATTAAACATTTTTTATCTATCTCATATAAATTTGTACCAAATGGACTTATCCATATATAGTTACTCTAGATTGGCTTAAATTTGGATTATTTTTTGCATAAATTTGAGTTAATTTTGAGCCAATGAATCAGTTTGGTATAAATTTATATAAAAACTATTTACTGGGAGTAATGTATATTTGTTATGTCCAGTCCCGATGGTTAAAGTATTTTGAAGGTAGTTATGAGGAGTATGTCAAGTATAATGGGATACACTTAATTAATGATAATGAAACTCTGATTCTGAAATATACAAGCTAATTGCATAAGAAACATAAAATATGGTAGTGTTTTATATGTATAAAAGTTTTTTTTCAGAATATATGAGTATGGAAATTTCTTTCCCTAAAATACGTCAAGCAATCCCAAATTCTATTCTTTCACTCAGTAGGTAAATAATGGATTGGTAGGCCAATTTACAGTCAATTCTTAATATAATAAAGTGGATGTTCAGGCTGATAAAACCTTCATTATATAAATGTTTATTAATATAAAGATAGATAAGTCATATTTATTTATTTATTTATTTATTTTTTTTTAAACCTTTATTATAGATGCGATCATGTCCTATTATAATCACGCTTACTTACATACAGTATATAAACTTACAAAATATAAGATAAAAAAATACATATAAGAATTAAGCATTATGAAATAAGACTACTTTTCAAAAAGAACAAGTCGACCTGTTATTTAAACGATCACATCATTGTTAAAAACCATGATGCGACCTCAAATTCAAAGGTGACTGTCATGATCTACCTAAAAATTTGCCCAATGACCACCTCGATGGAATGCCAAATCATTCCATTTATTCCAATTACTTTCTAACATCTTACAGCCAACATTTTTAACACCCACTTCAGTACGATTACTATGTGACTTAGCTCTTTTATCTTTATCGCTAATACCGCACTGCTTTTCTTCCTTTATTTGTAACTCGTTCCTTGGTTTCCAAATAAGCACTTTGAATTCTAATAAAACTCTCCCAGTTATTTGTTTCAGTATCTTATACAACAATTTTTCTTCAATTATTTTATAGCACCTTAATAATTCTATTAATTGACAACTGACTTGATTCTTCATTAAAAATGTAAAATCATATAAACATCCAATATCGCACATACCAAGCTCATTAATTTTACCATTTAATTCTTGCGTATCTATATCATTTTTTGAATACTCCTGTATAATTTTAACTAAAAAAATTTTTAATCGCATGAGTATATCTTGCACGACACTATACGTTATAAATAACGTGCATGTATGATTCTTTCTTTATTAAAAAAGCTGTATGTACATACTATCTAATACAGAATGATGAAACGATTTATAATTAATTCGTTAAAACTACTAAAAGAAGTTTACATATTTTTCTTTCAAATAAAATTTGCCATATGTAAATATTATTAAATATGGAATGGTGTGAAACTAAAAATAAATTCAATAGACAATTTGTCTATATATTTTTCTTTCTAACCAAATAGCCTTATGTAAATATTATCAAATAAGGAATGATTTAAAATCCTAAAATAATTATTCATTTTTTCCCTTTTGATAATTTGTTTCTTCATAATTAGTCATCCCACAAAAGAAAATAGAAAAACAAAACAAGAATAACTAATTACTTATTAATACTTTCTTAACACCACGAGGCGCTCTTTATCTTACGAGTCCTTAATTTATACTGATCTATAACATACTTATAAGACAAATTATAAACAAGTCTTTTGTTTCTAACTCTATTACGATATATCGTCAGAGTTTTTAGATCTCTGACACTATTCAACCCCTATGAAATTCAGGCCTTGTAATTGGTGTTTCTTTACGTAGTATTTCTTGTCAGGAAAGCACGTTATCCTGTTCTCTAATTTCTAGCTCTTGAAAATTTGTGGTAATATTTTCGACCATAGTATTTTTATCAGCACTGAACGACTGTTCTGCTACCTAAATATCTTCACGTTCAAAAGCAGCTTCTTTTTTCTTTCTTAATTCAAGAAAATATTCACTGTTGAAGGAGTGGTTAATAAAAATATCTTCTTTCAACATGTTGTAGCCTGATCTACTTGTAACTTGGTCTAACAGAAACTCCAATTCCTTGTTAGATATATAATGTTTCTTAAGAATATCACATCTTCGTTTCAATCGATGTTTGAAAACTACTGGCTTTGACTCAAATCTATTATTAATGTAATTCCATTTATTCGTATGATGTTTGAGGCTATTTGTAAACCTCTTTTTATACTTCTCTTGTTCTTTCATCGTTTTGAACTGTTTGTTAATAGCCAAATTCGAGTATATAACTAAATAGTTACCTGTGCCACTATCCATTGAAACCTTTTTTGTATAAGTAACGCCTATGCGTTTACTTACTATTTGTTTACTTTGACAATAATTTTTAAACGTATTTTGCATAGGAGGTGTAGGTATTACCATCACCTTTGAACGACAATTTTGGCATACTTTTCTATTGTTTGACATTACATAAGCACAGACATTACTACAAAATGAACATGAAATATAGAATCCCAAATACCATGTTCGTTTACCATAACTAAATTTAATATAAGTTGTAGTCTGTCTATTCTTTTCTTGTTTCTTTAATTTATTTTCTATCGCTACAAGTTTATCCAATAATACTTGACGTATTCTACAAAAATACTTATTTCTAGCATTTAAATCAATAGGCAACCCACAAAATACACTTGTTAAGTATTTTGAAATCCTGTATTTAGTATTCATAATAGCCCTATCTGAATTAGTCTTAAACGGCTTATCATATTTCTTCACTATATGTCTATTATTGGTAATAATCATCAATGTATCTTTCTCTTTCTGTAACGAATCCACATGTAAAAGAATATAGGACTTTTCTTTTCGGGTGGAGTAGATCGTATCTGCACCCGTATACCGTTTCACTTTTTCTGGACGGAAAAAAGTATAGCCGACAAAAATTTCTTTATTCGGCATCCTATATCTGATTGGTGCACTATATTTACGCCTTCTTTTTGAAAAATTTTGCAAGAAAACAAAACTTTTATATCTTTAAAGGACTATTAAGCCCTTGTGAACTTGTTCGAACTGAAAAGAGTGATAATAAAAAGTGTGTTGTTTAAACCAAGAAACACCTTTGTCTTAATATTGAAGTGCTATTTTTCTAGTAGTTTAACGAGAAAAAAGCATATTAATTCTTATGTGAAAAATGGATGTAAACGGTACATAAAAAAAAAATTCTATTTAAAATATTAGATAAGTCACATTTATTGACCAGCTTTTGGTCATATAATATAGTAAATATAGTGCAAGTATTTCTAGCTTTATTGATGTTAATAAGTAAGAAAGATTTTAAAATGAAAAACAAAAAAGAAAAAAACCTAATGGTAAACTCACTTATAGTCTTGAGAAATTACCAAAACTTAAAGAAGAAAGAAAGAAAAGTTAGTAAAAAGAAATTTGAAACAAAAAAAAAAATAAATGCAAACTTATTTAAAGTTTTGAAATCTTTACATTTTACCTTCAAAATAGGTAGCAAGAATCTAAAAAAAGCAAAAAATATTAGTATTAACATTTTATTAAATAAAATTAATAAAAAAATAATACATTTTGAAGTTTTATCTTTGATATAAAAATCTAAAACTTATTTTTCAGCTTCCTTTACCTAAAAAAAAAAAGAGATGAAATGTTAATTAACAGTCAGGTGATATGTTTGATTGAGTGCAGATCATTAATTAAATTGTTTTGTGTAACAATCATTCGTAGAAATTAGGGAATATATTAATGTCAAATTGTCATATATTAACTGCGAATTCTTTCTAAATAAACTTCATTTTCCAAGTTTCAAACTATACATTTCTAAAGAAATTTCTTACTTTTTCCTGCTTCTGGTCTTATTTTAATTAGTTAAATATGGTCTTAATTTTCGTACTTATGGCAAGGATTCTCCAAACGGAAGAAATATTACAATTTTGTAAGTACCCAGATTTGCGAGTCCAGTTGAGTCGCATACACTATCACTAATATTAGTTTTGATATATAACAGATAATAGAGCTTTAAAGTGACATTGTAATTTTAAATAATATAGTATGTAGTTAACTAGTAAACAAATATAAGGTTTTTTTTATTTAAAATGTTTTTTTTTATTTTATAATTTCAAATATTGTTATTAACCGTTTTCCTTGCCATTATTTAGCTTTTTTATGTCGATTTTTATAATACTGAGTTAATCGAGCTGCGTCCCAAATATCTGAAGATGAAGATATACCTTCAAGTGCAGCAAGATATCGTTGTACTTCTTCTTTAGTAGGTGGTAAAGAATGGGCCACCATCGGGGCAAGTATTTCAACAGCTTCTTTTGATGGAATTCGACGTACTCGCTTCTTAGGTGGTTCATCAGATGATCCAGGTTGGTTATCTAAAATATTTGTGTTTTTTCTTTTTCTGGGAGGTTTTTCAATATCTTTACATTTGGTAACTAATACTTCTTTTACCCTTCGTCCTGTAGTATCAATTTTTTCTTTTTTTAACACTTCTTGTGCATATATGAGATGTATACGGTGAAGTCCCCGCTTATAGCATTCCTTTAATCGTCTTATTCCATCAGCATGAATCTCTTTTGGATATGAAGTATGGAAAAGATCATGTGTTTGATTATAATGATTGAAATCTTTGGTATCAAAAGCTATCAACAATTTCTCCACCAAACTCCACATTTCATCTTTTCTTAAATTTGTTGATCGTTCATGATTAGTAGAGGTATTGTTATGCAAATATTCATTCAAAAATAATTCTATTCGTTCATACTCTGACTGAGATGCTTTCACTTGTCGCTTAAGGTTTTCCTGATCTATAACATTACCTGTAACATTCTGCTTAATAAATTTTACTCCGAATGTTTCTAGAGCTTCGTCAAATGCCATAAAATGTCCAAATCTATCTTCTGATACTTTAAAAGACCTGCAATTTGCAATTTTTCCTCTAATTTGGGGTATTGTTCAAGAATTCCAAAGAAATGTGAAACCGATTGAGTATAATTAGATTTTCCAGCTGAAGGAAGCAGGGGACTAAAAGCAGCTAAAGTATTCTTTTGAATATTAAAATTTCCTATTCGAATACCAATTCTATGTGCAATAAATAAACCCGTCCAATTATAAAATAAATACCAGATTTTAAGATAAGATTTGATTTAATAATTTATTAGAAATGTTTTGGTGAAAAATTATTAATATTTTTATTGCACGTAATTGTATTAGAAATGCATATACTTTAATTATACAATTTAAATTTTGGCAAATTGAATACAATTTAATATAAGAATATTTTGTCAAATTACATCAATTTTATAAAGTCATAATAATATTAAATTTACCTTTATATGATTTTAGACATATCAATATTGAACCTGAAAAGATGGTTTTAATAAGAGAAATCTAGTGGTATATAAGTTTTTTATGATCAATAATTGTTAAATATTTGCTAATAATTTAGCACGTGAAAATGTACAACAATAACGGTACTTTGAGTTTTCGTTTCCTAATATAAATTTCACTTGGGTTTGTTTGAGGCAGTGAATAGTGTTACTGATATTTATTTCCTATAGTATTTCCCCAAAATTAGTATCCCACGTTATAAGACCCAGGTATTTTATTAGATATAAAATTTCTACTCTCATTTAGTACCCCCCTAATTCTGGTAACTTTAGCTTAATTCTGGTTAAAATTATTATGTACCCCTCATATAATGAAATTTCTTAATGTACAGTGAAGGTTAAGGTTGCTTGCCGAAACCTAGGGGTTTAGGCAAGATGGCATTTTTCCGAAAAGCGAAATTCTGCCAAAACTATATTAAAGTTATATTAAAAAACTGGCGAAACTTTGGAGAAAGGCGAAACTGCTGAAACTTATTATAAATGACGAAACTGCCGAAACTCTGCCGAAACTATAATAAATATATAGTAAAATTTTGAAGAAACAAATCGTAGGATTTTGAAGAGGTTTAGACAAGCAATCTTAGTGAAGGTGTACGATATTAATGTACAAACTGACTGGAGTTAACGTTAACGCTATCACGTGCAAGTGCATAACTCCTAAACTCGGGCCAGTTTGTACGTTAATATTGTACACCCCTACTGTACATTAAGGACGCCCTCATATAATACCTGGTATCTCATAAAGTACCCACGGGTATTATATAATTTTTAAATCAGGTATTTTGTATAAGGCCAAAGAAATAAAATTATTCGTTTTCTCATGAAAAAAAATTGCTAAATTTGACCCGGCCGCCCGGAAAAAAAATTATTTTTTAATAAAAATTTAGCCGATTCCTAGAAGTTGATTGGTTGATTTAATAAATTTTTTGCCCGGGTCACTGGGTGGAAAAAAAAATTATTTTTTTATGATTATGATTGGTCAAAACTAAAATCACATGACTAAATAAAATAAATTTTTTTATCTTTTACATGACCTGCCCGGTTATGAGAAACGAATAATTTTATTTACTTGGCCTAATACCCGGGGTATTATGTGCAGTGGGATACTGTATATACATATTATTGGAAGCTATATCGGTCACAGGACCAATCAATGAAGGGCCCTGTGACCGATATAGCCCCACATCCAATAAAAGTGTTATCGTTCTGACGTTTTTGATCATGCATTAATTAATAACATCATAAATAAGTTTCTATAAATTTCATTTTTATAAGCTTTATTTAAACTGTTCCTACAAAATATTCATTTACGCCATTTTTTTACTCCACTTTATTATATAAATAATGTGTTATTGCTATGGCTAATAAAAATATCGGTCTATGAAAATCTGCATGATCCTATTTGGCTGAACGATAATACTGTATATTGGTATATTGCGTGTTTTTAAAAAAAATCATTTGTCATGAATTATGTCATTTCAAGTTAATTTGGTGTTTATATATAGGTTTTTTAGGTAGTTAAATACCCATAATGGTACAGGTTACCAGTTGCGTAATCATATTTTTCACGTGCGATAAATTTACAATGGTATAATCGAGAATAATCTATACAGATTATTAAGAGTCCGTACTTGTTATTACGTAATCTGTCATAAAAAAATATATAGAGTTATTCGGTCATCCTTTTTTTCTGAACAACTTTTCTTTGCAAGAATTCTACGAAAGTTTTTTTAACAATGTCTTTTTCTTATACCCGAACCTTATTGTCAGGATCAGTAATCTCGACTTTGGAGGGAGATAAACTTATTCTTCCACCTTTTGTTCTCGAAGAGATATTACGTGCGGCTAGCAATAATTCACATAACGATTTTTCGGAAGCACAACTTCCTTATCCAATTACTTTCCAAATATCTAATCCAAGAACACAATTAATAACTCATGGAGGTGTCTTGGAATTTAATGCAAGTGATGATAAGGTCTATTTACCAGAATGGATGTATAATTCACTCTCACTCGACGAAGGTGCGGAAGTGACAATCCGATTAAAAGAGCTACCAAAAGGAACATGGGTAAAATTTCGCCCGATGAATTCTGAATATAAAAAAATAAAAGATTATAGGTAATTCTTATTAATTCCTATTGAATTTATGAACTTTTAGTGTTTAATATTGAAATGAAATTTCTTATTTAAATATTTGATTTTTTCTTTTTATAGAGCTGCTTTTGAGGGATATCTACGTTCACATTATGCTACTTTGACTACAGGAGAAATTCTTACAATAAAGCAAGCAAATTCCTCTTATCAGTTTGTGGTAGACTCATTAAAACCTGCTAATGCTGTACAAGTTGTGGATACAGATTTAGAGGTTGAAATATCACCGCTTGCTGGAGAAGAAGCTTCTCTAAGTATTGATGAAGACATTCATGTTGGACAAACTGTACAAGGTATCATTCAAAAGAATGATTATGCTTACTTCAATTTGACGAATATTGACAAATCGCATGGATTAAATATCGTGCTAAACATTAAGGGAGGAGATGCAGGTATATATAACTATTTTAATTTTTGATGCTTTAGTATATAGTCGTTATCGATTATTTATATGAATTTTATTTCAGATATTTGGCTGACCGCCCATTCAATAATATGATTTCAGATCTCCTTGTGTCCAACGTTCAGTATCCCAAAGATGATGACCACATTTGGTCAAATTTCTCATCTGAGCCTAAAAAATCCATATTTATCGCGCCCACAAATTATGAATATGCTACTAAAGATGATATCCATATTGGGGTACATGGGTATAGTGATTTAAATTCTTACGAGTTAACGGTAACCTATTCTGACCAACAATTAACTAAGCCGGAGCCCTCGTTGGAAACCGTTAACGATGCGAATGAAAATGCTCCTGGATATGCTCAATGTAGTAATTGTGGAAATTGGATTCCAGAAAGAACAATCGTTTTGCATTCAAATTTCTGTGAAAGAAATAACATAAAGTGTAATTTATGTGGGAAAATAATGAAAAAAGGAGAAGATAAAAGTCATTGGCATTGTTCTAAATGTGATAAGGTAACTTGAGATTTCTAATTATAAATCATAAAATAATTTATATATTAAATGTTGATATTTAATACTTTCTTAATTTATTATTTAGATTGGTGATATTTCAGAGCAAGCAAAACACGAAGTTATCTTTCATACAGAACGTAAATGTTCTTGTGGATTTGTAACAGAATCATTACCGGATTTAGCGTTACATAGACGAACAACATGCCCGGATAAACTTGTAATATGTAGATTTTGTTCCAATTTAGTTAAACAAGGAGAACTCTCAACCAATCAAAATGATATGTTGGAAGGTTTAGCTTCCCATGAATCATATTGTGGAGGTAGAACCATCACATGCGTAAAATGTAAAAAGGCTGTTATATTAAAAAACGTTGCAGCCCATATGAAAATGCACGAAGTCGAAAAACAAAATCAAAGATTGCCACCACTTTGTAGAAATGCTAATTGTGCGAGAAATGCGGCAGTCAATTCATTAAGATTATGTACAGTTTGTTTTGGGCCTTTCTGGTCACCGACAGCAGATCCAACAAAAAAGATGTTATTTACAAGAGTGGCAAGAAAATACCATCAACAGTTAACTGTTGGATGCAAAAATTCTTGGTGCAAAAATGAGGTATTTTATTATAATTTCATTAAAAGTTATATTCAGATGTTTGAATAAACCAAACTATATATACTAAAGCTATCTATTTGTTTTTAGTTTTGTGCTACAGGTAATTTACAGCCAAAAGATGCTACAACAGCAGCAACCACATTAATTCCACTTTTGCAACAAGTTCAATCATCCAATTCAGCACCTATGTATCTTTGTGTGGATGAAAATACAATGAAAAAGCGTTTACTTGCAAATCTTTTATATAAGGGAGATATTGAGGGAGAATTTTCTATTGAATTTTGTATTAAAGCAATAGAAGTTGAAAATGGAGATTTAGTTAAAGCAAGGGAATGGTTAATATCTAATGCACCTAATAACTTTTTAAGAAATTAATAATTTTATAATGTTTTTGCTAAAATATTTTATAGTACTTTTTGAAAAATGATGTAAGAATTATTTATGCTATATAATTTTGTATATATACAAAAATATAATTATAATAAGAAATTAAAGTTTTAGATTAAAATTGCAAACTTTAACATTATTTTATTTATAATTAATAGGTAATAAAAAAAATACAAGGAAAGCTTTAAATTTTATATATATAAAAGATTAATCAAAAGCAATAATATATAGTATATTATTATTATATATTCTTAGATAAAGAGCAAATAATAGATTTTAAATTTAATATTAATACTAAAATTCAAAGTAATTTACACTTCTTTCTTTTATAATAGTTATTAATAGGAAAAAAACTTTTTAGTACTTTGGTATTTTAATTATAATCATAGCTTCAGATTTTATCAATTACTTAGTATAATAAAACTATTATAATTATTTATTTTAAATGATCTTTTTATAATATTTAATACAACTTATATTTAATTTTACTAATAAAAAAAGCAAATTAAAATAAGTATATTGTTAAAATTCACCAATAGTAATTATTATCATAGGTAATTATTATTGATTCTAAATATTTTAAAAATTGGAAAATTTTAATTATTTATAAAAATTGAATTTATATATTTTTTAATAAAATAGTTTAAACAGTTCTTTTAATCTCATTTTTTTTATAAATTTATATATAATGAAATTAAAATAAATATATTATTTAAATTAATATTTTAGTTGATTTATTTTTTATTTTTTATCCTTTTATTTATAAATCTTTACAGATATACTGGTAAAAAAATGATCTATCTTACATATATATTACACATATCTTACACATATTAGATACTCAAAATGTAGGAAATCTTACACAAATAATACATATATTATACACATACCTATCAGGTATCTGAAATTATAAAAGAAAAAAAGACAATAAAAAAAAGATTAAATGAAATAATATATTAATATTAAATAAGTTATAATTAAAGAATCAAAAAAAATAATAAATTTTAATAAGAATTATAATAATGAATCAATTATTTTTCCTTTATTTTTGTAAAATAAAAATGTATAAAAAGGAATTTGTTTTTTAAATTGAAAATATTTAAAATATTTATAAATTATATGAAAGAATAAGTTTTTTTTTAAAAAAAAATATATGAGATTACAATTATACTATCTTATTAATATTATTATTTTCTTTAATATTAAATTCATTAATAAACTTAAAATATAATAATTTCATACTTAATAAGTAAGTAAAATATCAACAAATAATAAAATAAAATATAATGTTAATAAAATTATAAAAGAAAAAAAGGAAAAAAAAAAAATATTAAATGAAATAATATATTAATATTAAATAAGTTATAATTAAGAAATCAAAAAAATAATAAATTTTAACAAGGATTATAATAAAGAAATCAATTGATTTTTCCTTTGTTTTTGTAAAATAAAAATGTATAAGAAGGAATTTGTTTTTTAAATAAATAAAATTATTATAGTAAAAATTGAGAAATATTTATAAATTATATGAGATAGCACTTGGAATAAGTTTAAAAAAAAAATTATATGAAATTGCAATATTTTTTTAAATTTAATTCATTATTAATTAAAAATTATCAAAGTCATATTTAATAAGTAAGTAAAATATCAAAAAAATTATGTTAATAAAATATAAAAGAAAAAAAGGAAAAATATTAAATGAGACAATATATTAATATTAAATAAGTTATAATTAAGAAAAAAAACAATAAATTTTAACAAGGATTATAATAAAGAAATAATTTGTTTTTCCTTTGTTTTTGTAAACCAAAAATGTATAAGAAGGAATTTGTTTTTTAAATAAAAAAAATTGAAAAATATCTCATTAACATTTTGCAAATATTATTTTGTTTTCCATTCGATAAAATTATTGATGAAAAATTAAATTATTTTTATAAAGCAAGTAAAATATAATTAAAATTTATCAGGATTTAATTTTAATACGTCAATTAAATACTCAATGAGCTATACTTTAAAAAATAATTTAAAAGGTAAGGTATTTAGAGGTAAATTTCGTGGTATATTGAATTGTTTCAGAATTGAAAATCAAAAAATCATTTCGGATATTTTGAATCTTTGTCAAAAAATCATATTTGAAATTATTAGAATTTAGAATGTGCTGCATTGATCGGTGCCTCAAAATCAAAAGACAAAAAAAAGATAGGGATTATTAAAAGAACAATTATAAAGAATTTTTTTTTTAAGTTTTTTTAAAAAAGGACTTTAATAAAATGTAGAAATGAAGATAATTAATTTTAAATAAATTATAATTAATCTCGTATAAGAGAAATTAAATTTTAAAATTATTTAAATTGTTTTCTTAAGATTAGGTAGAGAATAATATTTGTGACAAAGAATAGAGTTGATTTTTTAAAAAGGATAGATAGTTGATTATAATCTTGTTATAAATGTGAAGATTGAATGATTGCAAATGATAAAAAGAATATTTTCTCTATATCTTTATATAATTTATTTAGTAAAAGAATTTTGATTAAATAAATTACTGCGATAAATTTGAATATTTCTTGGGTCAATTTCAAATTAATGAATTAATGACAAAGTATTTAAATGAACGAATGTCCAGTTAGTGTCAAGTTAGTGTCAGTTAATGTTTAATAGGGAAAAGAATTTTTTTTTTTTTTTCATCTTTGATCATTTATTTATATTTGATTTTCTGATCAGATTATCAATCCCACGAGATCAAAAATATCCAGCTTTATTAATAAAAATACAATAAAAAAAAATTCTAAAAAACCAGCCCATAAAAAATACTCTATCAAATATAAATACAAATAACAAAAATTAATTAATTAAAAATATAAAATAAATGTCTTTTTGTAAATTATTTTAAATGTATAATAAAAATCTCCTTCTTTTCTTTCTAGATTTTAATTTTTTCTTTGCTTCTTGTGAAGCTTGATTCCAATCAAAATCTACAAGAAAACAACCAGTAACAGGTCTATGATCAGAGAATCCAACGACATTCATTTGAGAAGTATATGATAAAACATCAACATCAACTTTTTTCTTAATATTTCTTGATTTCCATAAAATTCTATCAGTCCAACTTGGTACACGTTGTTTATCAGAAGAATCATAACGTAAAGTGCCTGATTCAATTAATGCGGGTGATGATTGATAACTTATTAATGGTGGATGTTCTTGATTATAATGGCTTACTCTATGTGTTATATCAAGTTTAAATGTCGGATAAAAATTTAAAGGGGCTTCATTAAAACCTTTAAAATATGGAAATGATTTCAACTCATACGATAATTGATCACTTTTTAATAAAGTCTATAAAGAGAGAAGATTGATTAATAAATTTAATCTCATCATTTTTTTTTTTTTAAAAAAAAAATATATATCATACTTACTTCAATATCATTTTGTCTGATTAAATCATCAACACGACTTCTTTCTAAATCGACACGATAATTCATATCACCAAACCAAAATGTATAATCAAATCTATCCGTAACATTTGTGAATACTACAAAATAAATTCAAAATAAATAACAATCTTTTAATTTTTTGATCTCAAATATATAAAGAAAAAATTACCTTTATCTGAAGGAGAAAATCCTTTCAATTTTAATTCTTTACAAATCTTTTTCACATCATGATTCCTTTCTTTAACTTTATCTTGATGTGCTAAATAAATAAATAAAAGTGAAATGAATTAAATTATTATTTTCTTTAAAGATAACTTTAAAAAAGGGTTTAATAATACTTACCAGCTAAATGACTATTTATGAAACAAAGAGAAGTGTTACCAAATAATAAAGAAATACCAATTCCACCTTTATTTCCAAATAAATTTGCAAAACCAGTTGGAACTTCTCCATGTTGATAATCTTTTACCCAATCTTTACAACGTTCCCAAACAAATACTGCCTAAAGAAAAAAAAATATTCAAAATATCATGTTTGAGAAAGAAAACTTTATTTTAAAGTTTAGTTCTTTTTTTAACTTACCAAATGTAAAGCAGCCATAGTTTCAGTTTTAACTAAAATATAATCATCTCCTAAATAAGTTTTTAATCTTTGTTCCCATTCTTCTTTAGAAGGAAATAGAACCGAATGTTTAATATTATGTTGACATTCTTGTGTACCAATAACCAAAATATGATAAGGATGATTATGATTTCTTTTTAAATATAAGTCTTTTACTTCATGCTTTGTACTTGGAGGTTCGATAAAAGGATTGAGATTATAAGGAGGTAATTTCCCATGCATATTCCATGTACCAATGAATATTTTTAATTTCTTCTTTTCAAATTTTTCAGTATCTTTTTGTCTTACATCTCTCTTCTTTCTGCTATTAACAAATGGTACAAATTGAAGTAAATATTCTATCCATTCGGCCATCTTTGACATTAATGTTTTTATTTTTTCGAGTAAAGTATCTTCTTGATCCTCTAGTTCAGGGGGATCTATTAAAGCTGATTCGTATTTAACGGTTGACGGTTGACCAAATGATGATGTATCTGTAAAGGTTAAACAGGTTAGTTAATTAATAAATAATTAAGGTTTATATAATAGGGTTAGGTCAAATATATCAAAAATACCTGATTTCATGTTTTTTTTATTTAATTCATGTGTAACAAATAATTAATTATAAATTTAGTATGAATAGAAATATACGTACATACATATATATATACAGTATATATATATATTGAAATTGGTAGAATTATGAATCCCTTTTTTTTTATAAAAAAAAAAAAAAAATACAGAAAATAAGAAAAATAGAAAAAAAAAGGAAAATGAACCCGATACTGTTTATTTTCATTTTATATGTGAAGCAAAAGAGTTTTTATTTTTTTGGGGGATGAAAAAAAAAAAATATGGGAAACACAACATGAGACGTACTTCTTTATCAATTTCTCATCAAACCTAGAATCTAATACATTTTGAATATGCATTCGATAAGAACTTTCTTATTCGTCGAAAGATGATGTTAAACTTACGGATAATACAATTTTTACACAAAGGAAAACCAAAATATCAAAGTATGAGTACTAAAAAATGCATAAAGTTGATCCATTAGTTTTGAACTAAATTTAGGGATTTAATTCTTATTAACTTAGTTTGGAAATAAAATTTACCGTTAAAAAATGTTAATGATGCAATAAGCATTTTTTTTAAAGCTTATATTGGTTGATAATGGGATATTTTTCTGCGCCACAACGTGCTCTGAAAACACGAATTCATTGGTGGATAACAAGTCAATATAACATAAAAAGTTTACCCCTCGAAAAAAAAAAATTCATTTTCCCTGGAAGCCCTGGGTGTCAATTTTTTTAGAAATTTACTTTGTTATACAGGTTTTTATGCAAGTTTTATGTCGAATAAATCGTCGCCAAGTTTATATCTTACTTTTTTTTTTTCTCTTTTGAATCGGTTTTACCGTTTTTTTTTTTAAAGTTCAGATATCATGTGAATTGAAAATAATCCTTCTTTTTTATAATTGTGTCGTGTGATAAAGGTTCTTTGAACTCATGATTAACTGATTCATCATATGATCACAACAACTGCAACCCAATAACAATCGAAAGAAAAAAATTAATTTGTTCAATTTGTTTATTTTTTTTTAAGATTTACCTTGCATGTGCTAATTATTTGTTCCCACTTTCCCCCCATTTTCTCACAGAGAAAAAACCGTTTATCATATTATCATACAATAATAATAATAATAATAATAATAATAATAATAATAATAAATATATTATTCTTTCATAATGGCACCAATGGAAAAAATGAGAGGATGTTCATTAATTAATGATTTAAAATTTTTAATAAATAATAAAAATTATAGTGATATAAAAATAATATGTCAAGATGATTCAATAATTTATGGTAATAGAGCTATATTAGCTGCAAGATCAAATGTTCTTGATCGTTTATTATTTAATGGTATGAAAGAATCTACTATTAATGAAATCAGATTTCCTGAAATAAATTTTAATGCTATGGAAATTATATTAGAATATTTATATACAGAAAATTTTGAATCTGATTCAATTTCTTTGGATATAAGTATTGAAGCTTATCATGCAGCAGATTATTTTCAATTGGAAATTTTACAAGAAAAAATTGTAAATTTTGTTAAAAAATCCCTTAAAGAACATCATCAACAATGTGATTTAAAAGAGAAAGGTAGAATTTTAGCACCTGTATTATTATCAAAAGCTGTAGAAAAAATGTCTCCTTTAGCTGATAATGAAATGATTAAATTAATAATTGAATGGATCTCTAAAACTCCTTTGGAAACTATTGGATTTGATAATTTATCTTTTCAAGCTTTACAATGTTTATTATCTCAAACTTATTCAACTCAAAATCCTTTCGTTACCTCTGAATATATGGTATTTCGTTATTCTGTTATACAAGCTGCTAATAATATATCTGAAAATGCCATTTCTATTATTGAAAAATTATTACCAAATTTTGATGATTTAAAAAAAAAAAATAATAATAATAATTTTAATGAAGAATGTAATGAAAATGATTATGATGAATATTTTTCTCAATTTGAAGAATTTCGTTTAGAGATAAAAGAAATGTTATCAATTATACTTCCTTTTATTGATTTAAGAAGAATTGATATAAATATTTTGGTTGATAAGATTGAACCTTTACAATTATTACCTACTCCTCTTTTATTAGATGCTTATAGATTTCAAGCTAGAGAGAAGAAATCTTTACCTCATATACGTGGAATTCCTTTATTTGATTGGAATTTACAATGGGATAAAATTGCTAAAGGTTCAAATTTAATATTAAAAGAATATAATACTGTAGTAGAAAGTAATCCTGGTGGTTTAAATACTACTCATCAAAATATAAGAGCAAATAATATAATTAATGGTGAAGGAATTTATGAATGGGAAGTTATTATTGAAGAAACTTGTATATATGCTTGGGTTGGTGTTTGTACTGAACGCGGCCTTGATTACAATATTTTTGCTGGTCAACAATCTTGTGCTTGGGTTTTAGGTTCTAGTGGAAAATGTTATCATAATAATATTGGTTCACATTATGTATCTGAATTTTCTTCTGGTACAAAAATTATTGTACATTTAAATATGACTGAAAGATCTATCGCTTTCTCTGTTAATGGTGTTATGCATCCTCCTGTATCAACTTGGGATAATCTTCCATCAAAACTTTATCCTATCGTCTCTTTAAATTCTCCTGGAAGAATTCGTCTTGGTCCTGTTAGAGATTGGAATCATATTCAACATAATAATAGAAAATTTTAATATAATTAATTATCAATATACTTTTTTTTTTTACTTAATTCTTTTAAATATTTATTCGTTCATTCATTCAGAGTTTTGAAATTTTTTCCTTTGTGACACATGTATTCGCATATTTATTTTGGTTTATTTTTTTTTTTTTTTAGCTTTTGGAATGACACATGTCGATTTTAAATCGCGCTAACCAAAAAAAAGAATATGCATTGTTGGGAAAATTTTAACGAGTACTGAACGAACGTTACACTTTTTAAACTTATTATTGTACTAATAACGGCAAAGTTTTTATGAAATATTCACATAATTAACAAATTTTGTCTTGATATTTCATACCAAGCCACAATTCTTTCTCAAAAATTACGTAATAATCGGCTTCGCTGTACTCGCTCGAAAGTGATTTAAAACATTTTTAACCACGTAAAAAATTATTTACACAACCTTTAAAATAAATATGTCTATTTATTTTTTATTTCTTTATATCTCTTTATATTATTTTAAAATATTATATATAAATACATGAATAAATAAATAAGTATATTAAATATTAAATATTATCTAGTATATATTTAATATTTCTTAATATTACAATTTCTATCTAATATTATTGTATTATATAATTTCTCGCTTTTTCAATGTTGCTAAGAAATTTGTCATATAATTTTCTGCGTATGATGAAAAATAGAACTATATATAAAAAAAAACCAGCACAGTTAGATTTTGATGGTTATGTAAAAAAGAAATTTTTAATATTATACTTACTTCGTGTTCGGAATTATGAGGGTGAACAAAATTATGCGCTAATTCATGGCAAAATGTCATATACCAATATGTCATGGCATCACTTGTAGTTTTAATTTTACATTGTTCATCATGTAATCCAAGATAAAACTTTAAATTAAAAAATAATGATTTGTCCCGATTAAATGCAATCGAATTTGAATTTTTATCATTGAATATATGAATAGCTTTTGGTGCAAGTCCAAAAACTTCAACAAGATCTTTTAGTATATTGATAAAACGGATTAATGAAGGACCAAGTGGTAGAGATAAAATTTCTGATCGATCAGCACCTTTAGGAACATATAGTTCAATATCATGTAAACTCCCAACACAATTTAATGAATGACCTAAAGCAAATGAAATAAATCAAGGTTAAGACAAAATATGAAAATATTATATTATATGCTTTAAAAAGATATTGCTCATACCAGGTATAACATCACAATAACTTGTTTGACTTTCATCGACAACTTTAACGCTAGCTTGATTATCGATGACACTTCCTGAATTAGAACGACAAGTTCTTATACTTTCTTGTAAAGAATTTCGTAAATTTCTAGTAGTTTCAGGTGTTACATGAACTGGTTCCTTATTTGCAGAAGATTCCATAGGTTTTGAAGAAGTTGATGTACCAGCACTTCCAGTGGCTAGGGTTGGAATATAATCCTTTACTTTCCTTACTTTATCAAAAAAACCTAAATTTTTATTACCACCATCATTAACAGGATCAGTTGATACATTAGTTTGCTGAGTTTTTTGAGTTTGCTGGGATTTTGGATTGATTTTGGGATAATTGCCCTCAGCAAGTATATTGGCTACATTAGCTAAGTGATCATTCTTTTGTTTTGCAAGGAGTTGACGAATATGATTTGGGTCACAATCTGGAAACAGTTCTTGTAATTTAGGAACATAACTTTCTATCTGAGGAGATAATCCGGAGGATACATTATTTATTGTATCATTAGAAAGATTTTCTTCATTCTCTTGGTCAATTATATTTTGATCATATTTTTCAACAACACGTTGTTGTTTAGGTTGTCGTAATATACGATCAACCGGATATCCTTTACGTTTCAAACTTGTCAGTTGTGTAGTTAAAAGCATGTTCAGATGAGAGATGTCTTTCCATTTGTGTGACTTGTAAATATTCTTAACTATTTGTTGTGAAATATCGAGTGTATCAGGGTCAGGTGTCACATAAAGAGTCGAATTACTCCTATCTGAGAGAATACAACAAGTAGTTGATTCTTTTCTAGTTTCGTTAGTAGGTAATAATAAATAACTCGTTTCTATCTGGTCAATTTCCTTAACTTTTAGCCTTTTAAGCCACTCTACATCTTTTTTAATTTCGCTTTTAGGATGATCAAGATCATAATAAAACAGGCGTGCCCTTTCCACAATTTTTGCTTGCAAATTCCTAGAACTCGTAGTTTCTCGCATCGTGCCTATTGGGGTTACAGATTCCTTCACAGATTCGCGTAATGATTTACATCCCAATTTCTAAATAGGAAAAAAAATGAATTGATATTAAATATATAGTAAATTAAAGGAAAAGAAATGATTAATAACAAATATCATACTCTATACAAGACTTCCATATTATCTTCTTCCGGAACTGTCAATGGGTTAAAAACCTGTTGATACACTGTATCATCATTGATGAAAATATCTTTGGCTGAAGCCAAGCAGTAATGTTCAGCTTCATCATCCATCTTAATCATGCTATCTCTCTCAGAATTAGAGCGTCTTTTCTTTACAGCCAGTAAAATAGGTGCCCTTTTCATATCTGCAATTAAACTTGAATTTCTAGATATGGTATTAAAGTGAACAGCAATTCGTCTTAATACATTTAAATATTTTTCTACGTTATCTCCAATTGAATTCCACAATTTATGTGATGATTTCACTAGTAATTCGGCAAATTCAATTGGAGATGGTTCGTCTTTGACACCACAACTTTGCAGAAATCTATTGGCTCTAGGTCCAAAATTAATATACGAAAAGAAATCATTCAAACTAAAAAAAAAAAGAATAATAATAATAAAAATAAATTATAAAGTCGCTCTAATAACCCATCCTACTCATAAATAAATAGAACTAATAAACATTACCTTTCTTCTTGACCTTTAAAGAAACAACTACGTGGATCAGTAAGAACTATTTCATTAGGTTGAGTTTTATTTCGAATTGGAATAAATTTGAGACTAGCTAGTTTATTCCAATCAAAATGATTAAAATCTCCTTGTCGTGATGCCAAATATTCAAAAACGTCCTTTGCCTTATTCTCGTCTCGTGGTGGATCCTCAATCAACCTACTTAATAGTTTATCCCGACTTGGGTGTTGACGAACGCCAAACTGTTCTGCTTGGAACCGTAAATCTTGATGTATAGCGTTAAATTTCATTATCATACAATCAGGGTTAATAAAACATTCTGAAGGTTTTGCGAAAATAGTTGTATCTGAACAAGGTAAAAATGCAATATTGATTTCAGACGGATTATAATCTTTAGAATATTTTTCTTTAAAATTTTCAATAAAATATTTAAGAGCCTTGCTACGAATTTTGGGATCAGTTGGAGGTGCTGCCAATTCTAAAATTTTTTTCAATGTAGGGTACTCTCGTAATCCAAGTTCAATTAAAAATTTTCCTATAATTTTTTTTTTTTTTTTCCACAAAAAAACATTATTAATATTATTTAAAAATAAATAATTTAAATAAATAACAAATGTACCTTCTTGTGTATTACGAGCCCATTTTCCTTTCCAATCAATTATTGGTAGACCGAATTCACGATGTAATACTAAAGGTGCATATAAATCGCTAGCAACAAAACGAAGAATTTTTGGTTTTGAATTTGTTTCATCCTGTTTATTGGACTGCGATAAATCTTCTTTAGGCCAGATGGGAGTGACTATTAATCTCTTAATTTCAATTTCTTTGAGATTACTTGATATTGAAGCAAGGTATTTTACGAGTTGCATATGATCCCAATTTCCTTGACTAACAAGACGATCAAAAATAAGTTGTAATTCAACAACCTAAAATTTAGAAATCAAATTTGAGTTTAATCAATTAAAATTTTTTTAAAACAAGAAAAAAAAAACTTTTCTTACCTTTCGAACACCTAATAATTGCATTATATTCTGAACACTTTGAGGTTTTTGAAATTGAACCGTTGGTAAGTCAGGGAATAAATTAACATTCTGAAAATAAGCTTCATCAGGAATCCTCATGCCAGATTTTGTAGGAACGCATTTCTTTTGGGAAAATAATTGACGAATTATTTCCTTGTCATTTTGCGAAATATTGTTTAGACTTCGTGCTAAAATATTATGAACTTTCTCAGCAAATGGAGGGCTGACTTCCAAATCAGATTTTTCAACGATGAACCTTGCCCAATTAACCAAAGATAATTCTGACCACCTAAACCATTTTTCAAGATCCTGATTTTTTAAAGGTTTGGAAATAGTATATGGCAAAACTTCAAGAGGAATATCTACATCTGGCGGTACTATACTAGGGTTCAGAAAATAACGGAATTTACTCAAATTTCGAGATTTATCGCCGATAAATGCCAGTTGCATAAATTGTGAAATTTCCATTTGATTAACATTATTTCCTTTTGACCTATAAGAAAACCACCATTTTAAAAGTTCAACCATTTCACTTTCTGAAAGTACTCGATTTTTCAATTCTGCTAAAACATCCTGAAGAGTTAAGTCTTCTATAAGTCTCATATCTTTTGCTTTCTTAAAAAATACGTCACATTGTTCCAATGTAATTTTTGGTACAAGTGGAACACTTTTGATGAATCCTGCCATTTCCGAATTAGGCATGCGAACGTTAGATATTGGAAGGACACCCTTTGTCGAAAAAATAGATAAAGTTTGTCTTGAACAACTGAAAAATTGTAATTCGGTTATTTTGCCAACTTGCATATTCGGCGTACTTGGTTTGAATGTAAAATGTGTTAAAGCATGTGCTGCACGATTCTCAAACCATTCACAAACAGACTTGGTACTTTCATCATCAATTTTGGCATTAGGAACAATCATTTCATTATAAAGCCTTGTTATCTGAGTCATTTCGTCTTCATATAAAATTCTGCACAATATTCCTGCCAAACATAACATCTCACTGTTATATTTAGCCAAAGTTTTGTCCACCAAATCAATTGACTCTCGTTCCACCTAAATGGCAAAATTTTATTCTATTTAGTATTTATTAACCAAATAAGACATTATAAGATAACATATACATACGGTAGGGATCACACGAGCTGCCAAATGAGAAGAACATCCAGTGGTTTGATGTGTCGGGAAACCAATATATATTCGCCCTTGTTCTGGGTATGGAAGTAAATCTTTAAATATTGGAGAAATTTTATTATTATTATCCCCAGATGAATTGCGTTCATCAAATCCAGTAAAAATCATTTGAATTGTTGTCTTATTTGGCGGTTTCTTTTTGGTAGTACGTTCCATTTCTAAAGAAAATGCACTGCTGACCTTAACATCCAAATTTCCGCTTGCAATCCTTAGAAATATTGATGCTTCTTCTGTTTGAAAATTAGTAATTGGTGATGGACGCCATTGTTTTGTTATTATATTTGATGGGTCAATTAATCTCTTAACGTCCAGTTGGACACCTCTAACATCTACTGAAGTAAGATGAAACATCTTTTGCGGAGAGTATGTATCGAAAGCGGATGCGATGTTCATCGATCTCGGTTCTTGCATTTTTTTTGATAGTTGTATTACTAAAGTACTATTAAAATACACAGATACTTCTCGAAGATTTCCCGTAAATCCCTACAATTAATTAAAGCAGATAAATAAGAGATTATGATTGTATTATATATCGTTAATATTTTTAATTTAAAACTTACCAATGAATTGGCCAAGAACCGTGCGAATTCTTCAATATCCGGAAACTGATGTAAAAAAATAGACATTTAGTACACTAGATTATAACAATATAATATAATTTATGATATTTACTTCTGTAGGTTCTCTCATATCCATTAAAAATGTTGTCAAGGATTTGTCTGTATCATCGATTGGCCCTCGTTTCGCAAATAATTGATCTCCGCGCCAATAAAAAGCCATTCCTTGTCCACCGGAAGAAACACTAAAAAATGAAATATTGATTGTTATTATTAAATAATTTGCGTTCGATAATTAAAAAAAAAAGACATTTACAATGGGTTTTCACAAACTGAAAACAATGAATAAAAGCCCACACCGAAAGCTCCTATCTGTTAACATAAAAAAAAGTTAGCGAAAAATTAATTTAAATTAATGAGTTATGTGAATAAATTTACTTTTTGCTCATCTGGATTTCCTTCGGCGATCTTCTTTAATCGATTCCAATCCTCAACCCTAAAAGCGAATCCATTGTTTTTGAATAGAATTCGTACGATTTTGTCTTTCAAATGTTTATCTGTGCTTGGATTTGCAGTTTCAAATATAATTTGGACACTCGACGATTTCGCATCATCTTTATTTTCAAACCAAATTCTTTGAATCAGATTGTAAATCGAATTTAAACAAAACGATAAAAGATAAAATTTTTACCAGAATTCTGCATTAACTCCCGGTATACAACGAATTCGGCAGAGTATCTAAAGTAAAGTATTTTTTTTTCATGAGAAATAATAAAATTATTAAAATTCTTTATTATAAAAGTCTAAAAAAATGTTTTACCGAGCCAAAATTTTGTCAATCAAGTGTCTTTGATTGACTTCTACTCTTTCTTCTCCATCAGAATTCGAAAGAACTTGATTCCTAAAACTGTCCAGAGACATTGTAAAGAAATTAACTAAATTATAATATTAACTAAATTATATAAATATATAATATTAAAGGACGTGCATAAAACAAAAATGGGGAAATACGTGAGTTATTTATATCAAATTACCCGATAATTACCCTATATAGAAGTGATTGTGTTGATTACGTGTCCGTGAAGCTAATTCTAGAATTGGCTCGACCTAATCAAATTTGCAAACAAAGTAGTTACATGAATTGTTCAAATTTATCGAAAAAGAGACGCACTTTTCCTTGAGTTTGATTATTAATCTTTCTGCGCCATACCCATTTGAATCATTCATATAAACTATCAGCTTTTTTTTTCCTTTTAAGGTAAAAAAAAAACAAATAAAATAAAAACGGGTACTTTACCGAATAAAAAGCAAAAAAAGTTCTTTTATCAGGAAAAAATCAAAAATAAAGGTCTTTTAGAAAAAACAAACAATAAATTCTTTTGTTTTACCAGAACAATAACTTTTTCTTTCCTACCGAAAGGAAAAAAAAAATACGGGAGGTTAGCAATCTCGGTTAGAACCTTCGAATGTAGGAAGGAACTTACCAAGGCCGACCTATACCCCGCCAAATATTTGGTGATTATCATATACCGGAAGTATATGTGGATAAGGTATCACCCAAATCCTATATTATCCTTACTCATTAATTTGAGGCAATATAATACCATGTGATAAACTTATATAACCCTAAAAAAATGGGTTTCAAAAAATTATGGGATTTGCGAATTATATAAGAGTCGAATTAAAAAAAAAAGTCTATAATAATTAATACGCATATCATAATGTTAGGTCGCGTCTAACTGCAGTTTATTGGAGCAAAGCCTGGAGAAAAAAATTTGTTTAGAAATTGCAATATAGAGCAATAAAACATTAAATATTCGAATCTTTCATAATTTCTATAGTACAACACTTTACCATGATCATAGAGAAATAATGAGATGAATTATTAACTAAAAAAAATCATACGCCAAAATAATCAGATTTCATGGAATTTCAGTCTCTGTGGAAATCCCAACTTTTTGATATCATTGGTAATTATAGTAATTTTTACGCAGAATTTTTTTTCAAAGAGATGATAATTTAATATTGAAAATAAACAGGATTTTTTTAAATAATCATAAGTATTTACCTTGTTTTGGTATCCATATCACGTTATATTTGCACCATTGTTAATTAAACCGCACTATCATACTTGACGGAAATACATTTCTTGTTCTAGTTCAATTAAAAATTATAAGTATCACAAGAAAATAGTTAAGAAAATAGTTACATCTGCTTGATAACAAATTTTGTAAGACAAACATTTGTTTGGTCAGCAACGTGTAATTAATTAGCTCAAGAACACTTGCACAATTATCACACGATAAATTAATGATAACGCTATTTAAGTACATTTAAAAGATATTGCGATTATTCAATGTTAGTTGGTTATCGTTACATGTAAGTTATACTGTAAAACATTGATATGCACTTGAAGTTAGAAGCATATTTGGAATTCCAACTCCAATATACTATTTCCTATAAAAATTATTGAAATGTATATATATAATCATATATATAAGAAAAGTTGGAGAGATTGGCCGATTGGAATTAGAAGGTTCTATTTCAGTAAAAGGTTATTGCCTCATTGGAAAACTTCCAAATACTTAATATGTCAAAATTTTGGATACTTACGTTAAAGCATTTTAATCACGTGTTCACCAAATTGCCATGCAAGTCGATCTTGATTCACTTAAGGTTGCTGCGAAATTATATTGAAGAATGAATACTCTAGGCGCTGGATTCAACGTTATTGTTGATATGTTTCTATGCGAATTAAATCACGTTAGCTCACGTATAATTAAGATTGGTTAGCTCTGAATTTATGAAGTACGACACTAACCCGACGGGTTGGGTCATTGATGAAAGAATGCAATTTTTTTTTTTTATTTCAACCAATAAGTATTATAAATCGGTTAATAGTACTTTAAATTGGTTAATCAAAATTCTTTATTGCACTTATAACCAATAAATTAGAGTTCCAAATTCGATCTTAGGAAAGACCTGATTCCCTAGTAAGATATTAATTTTAATTGGAATGACCTCAATAAAATAAGTGATTCTTCAGGATCCTACCTTTTTAGTAGAGTTTGGATCCGTGTATCCGTCATCCGCGTATCCGTACGGATTATGGATATCCATTTTGTTATTTCGAATAATATCCATGGATAAATAATTTCATATGGATAATCTGTGGATAATCCTTATATCCACAGATATGCGGATAATCCTTGTATCCATCCACAGATAATCCTATGAAATAATCTTTAAAATTATGTTAATAAACTTAATGCCAATGCCTTATTCTATTTTATCAACTATTGACATTGTGATATTATTTAAAATACAAATTAAAAAAGTTGAACATATAAAAAATACCTTTTCTTTAGAAACCGGGATTATTGTAATACCTTGTTTAGTTTAGGAGTTTGGATTTTGGGAGATATTAAAATATCAAATAAGGTGAGAAAATGTAAAAAATATTGTTAATTATTTAATTAATGAATATATAAAATTTGGTATTTTTGTTTGAATAATTTATATTATCTATAATTATTATCCTTATAATCAGAGTTATTCTGTTGCCCATAAAGTCCGGATACGGATAATTTTAAAAAAATTGAATGGATAATCCACATATCCATGGTTAAAAAGTTCCCACGGTATATATCATGTGATTATCAGTTATAAACGACATCATCAATTATTATTCGCATGACAAGTCGACGTTGATTCATTTGTACTTGATTGATGTTGTGGTGAAAATTATACTGAAGAAACAAAATAACGAATACTCTAGGCGCACTAATAATATGGTCTAAATGTTTTTTGTCTTTTTCATAAGTTTTTGATGTTACGCCATTGTTAATGTTACTATGCGAATTAAACCAAGTATAATTAAGATTGTCTAGCTCTGAATTTATGTTGATTAGCACAATGTGAAAGAACGCAATTTTTTTTAAAAAATTCACTAACTGAATAAGTATTAATAGTACTTTAAATTGGTTAAGCAACAAAATTGAGATTCTTTATTGCACTTATAACCAATAAATTAGAATTCCAAATTCAGTCTTAGTAAAGACCTGATTCCCTAGTAAAACATTAATTGTAATTTAGAATGACCTCAATAAAATAAGTGATTCTCAAATTTTAAAAATTAAAAAAAAGTTCCCACGGTATATATCATGTGATTAACCGTTATAAACGACCCTTTAAGGATATGCATAACTATGCACGCGAACGATCGTTAATAAACTTCTACTGCGCCACTTTATTGTGAAAAAGTTAAGATTCTTGAAAATCCTATAATCATAATAAAATCTTTCTTGAGTATATATGTATAATACACTTTTTTTTTTGCAAATCTTGAAGTATTATTCTTTTTTTTCAATAATGAACTTTTGAATAAATTTGGTTAAACAAACCGTTAATTTATTGGTTTCGGATTATCTTTTACAGAGTTAGACCTGAGAAAAAAAAAAAAGAACTACCTGATGCAATTAAAAAGAATTTCTTGGAATATTTTAAAAGTGATCTCTTTCTTTTTTAACCTCCTTTTTTGATGATCCGATTTTTTCGATTTACAGAGAATTACCTTTTTTGAATCATTCAGTAAAAGTCAGCAAGTCGGCATAATATTATGAAGAACAATCGATTTATTGAATAAGGGAAG